ACTCAATTTTGGGGTAATATTCCATGCACGAAGGATGAAAATTACTCAGCTTTATTGCGAACTCAAAAACGAGTACATTTTTCGGATTTGATAATCCTCTTCGGACTTCCTTCAAATTTGCATTTTTTCAGTGAGCGAACGTTCATCGGAAAAACGACCCGGCTTCATTGAAAATTGTCGGCGACGCCAGCAGGCGAGCCCGTACGATCATGCGTTTTTGCAATACTTCATGCTACAGTAAGATTACTTGGAATCACAGAGGGTAGAATTTGTGACATGCTGGTCTTCGAGATTCAAGAAAATAATTGTACAAGTATCATGAGTACCAGGAAAGGGAGTGTTTTGTTAAATTTCACCTCCCCACACTCCCTGGTTCCCAAGTTAGCGATCTTCCCGCCAGAAACTTTCACGGAGCCATAAGTGAGAGCCACTCATGGCTGGGGCTGAATTTGAAATCTTTGAGTTCTAAGTGGATGGGAAACATTCTGGATCCCGAGTTAACAATTTTCTTACCAGAACTTTCGCGCTGTCTTATGCGAGTCCCGGACGTGCGTGAGGATTGGTACCGCGGTTCTGGGATGGCACTTGGTCGGGAGACTCGCTGGCAAAGTTTTGGCGCGGAGCTTGTCTGATTCCGAAATGAAATACCCGGACAGACACACGCACACACATATACACGTCGTGTTTATAAGAACATGCGTTTTTGCTCGCTGTAACAGCGCCATAGCTCTCATTCACGCTGGAGGTTTCTGCTGAAAAGAGAAGTGTAGCTTTTACTCGTTACCGTCTATCTTTCATCGCTGGCCTCTATCATTGCGTACTGCTTCTTTATCCATACCAACTTTTACACACTTGTCGAAACGACTTTTCTGATACCGATTCCGGTTTTTCACATTCACCGCGCAATTTTCGCTTTCTTCGCAAGTATACTGTATATGTTTCATGGCGGAACGACGAAGAAAAGCCTGAAATTTTTTTTTCGTTTTAGAAAATAGATTTTAGAAGGTCGCAATGCGGTACTAGTTGAAACTGGGGAAATGTGCGAATATGACTGGGGAAGTAGAAAGCGCACGGTGTTTTCATAATGGTGATCTTTCACTCTTTTCCAAGCTTGCTGACCTCCCTTCCTCCCCCGTCCCCCCTCCGCTTCCGTCCCATTTTGTCAAGATCTCTTGCTTACAGGTTCGCGTCCTTTCAGTGCGTGTAAGTGATGCATTTTGCGTTGTAATTTAAGTGTCTTATTGTACTGAGTATCGCAGTCGAAGAGGATCGACAGATTGGTTCTGTGACTTTCGTCGCTTTATAGTATTGAGGTTGGTTCTGTGAAACGATGTTCTCCCTCGAGCCAAATCCTGCAGGAAACCAAGTCTTCTACTAGCTTCCCTTTGGGGGTGATATATTACAATATGTTTTGAAAATTTATTCACTTCTCTGGCACTGGATAAGAAGAGGAATCTCAAAAATTTCAAGTATCCGTATGCTGCTGTCCTCTTGCTAGGGATCAAGCATTCAGGACAAAGATGACTTTGCCAAACTGGGAAAAAAACATACATTGCAGGGCTCGCAGCTCTTCACCCCGTAGTGGTACCCAGTTGCGGTGTCGCCGCTTATTTTGCATTTTTTGGACTGTGGCGAATTCACGTCTCGTTTTGACTCAACAGCATTCGTGTTCGTGCAGTGAGCAAAAGCTTGCGACAGGGGCGATTGCCTGCTTGAGCCAGGCGCCAGCACAGGCGAGAATTCAGCCGGAGCAAGCGTATTAACTATGCAAAGCGGTGTCTGGCCGCCCACTGCGGATGCTTCTGCTGCCACCCAGTGATACATACCGTACTGATACACTAAAGATAAATTTAGTTATTCGATCAGAACCAAAACGCATTTTATAGATCCAGAAGCTGACTGAAAATTTGAATAATGTAAAAACAAAATAAACCCAGGCTGGAACACACCAGGCGGGCCGATGCGATTATGCGTTTTTATGCGTTTTTGCTGTGCAGCGCTATAGCGTTGCTACAGCCAGCAAAAACGCGTATTGTCGAGAGGCTGTCTGTGTGTGTATGTTCGGAAAGCGAGTGCATTTTGTCACCCACTTTCATCTTGGCTACCAGGAAAGCTGGGAGGCTGAAACTTTGCATCTATGCTGTCATCCTCCCGTTTTACGATCCTTCCCCGTACGCGTCTAAACTCCGCGTACGGGACCCCCAAAGAAATATGCTGGCGGGAAATGATTTCGCGGACCAGGCAAAGTAGAAGGCTGAAAATTTCCAGGGATATTCTCTATGCACGTGCAAGATAAAAATTTTAAACTCAGCCCTCTAGCTACCCAACCACAGCCTTAAGCAGCTCCTGAACCCAAAAATTGTTATCAACTCAAACCTGAACCGCAATTGCATGTGCAAATGAACGTGCATTTTTAGCAACTCGGACCTGAACCGTAATTTCATATGCGAATGAACATGGGTTTTTTGAAAAACGGCCATTCGAGCAATTCCTTCAATTTTTTAATGAACTGAAAATTTGCATATTTTCAAAAATTCGCTCGCAGCTCGGACCTTAACCGCAATCGTATATGCAAATGAATATGGATTTTTTGACAAACGACCGCTCGAGCAATATTTCCACTTTTTAGTGAGCTGGAAATTTGCATTTTTTCAAAAAATTTGCATCTGTCATTTTTTCACA